CTATACGTACAGTCTGATGGGGGCTAATTTGGCTACGACAAATCAGGAAAGAGATCTTGGAGTTATCGTGGACAGTTCTCTGAAAACTTCCACACGGTGTGCAGCGGCGGTCAAAAAGGCAAATAGGATGCTAGGAATTATTAGGAAAGGGATAGAAAATAAGACCCAGAATATCTTACTGCCCCTGTATAAAACTATGGTACGCCCACATCTTGAATACTGTGTGCAGATGTGGTCTCCTCACCTCAAAAAAGATATTTTGGCCTTGGAAAGGGTTCAGAAAAGGGCAACTAAAATGCTTAGGGGTTTGGAACGGGTCCCATATGAGGAGAGGTTAAAGCGACTGGGACTTTTCAGTTTAGAAAAGAGGAGACTGAGGGGGGATATGATAGAGGTCTATAAAATCATGAGTGGTGTGGAGAGGGCGGATAAAGAAAAGTTCTTAATTAGTTCCCATAATAGAAGAACTAGAGGACACCAAATGAAATTAATGGATAGCAGGTTTAAAACTAATAAAAGAAAGTTCTTCTTCACACAGCGTGTAGTCAACCTGTGGAGTTCCTTGCTAGGAGGCTGTGAAGGCTAGGGCTATAACAGAGTTTAAAGAGAAGCTAGATAATTTCCTGGAGGTTAGGTCCTTAAAAGGCTATTAGCCAGGGGATAGAATTGGTGTCCCTGGCCTCTGTTGTCAGATGCTGGAGAAGAATAGCAGGAAACAAATTGCTTGATCATTGTCTTCGGTCCACCCTCTGTGGGGCACCTGGTGCTGGCCACTGTCGGCAGACAGGATACTGGGCTAGATGGACCTTTGGTCTGACCCAGTACGGCCATTCTTATGTTCTTATGACCTAAGACCCACTGAGCACAAATTTGACCATAGAAGTAAATATTGTGAAAACCTAAGACAAACAAAAATGTTTGCATAGTGCTTAAACTTTCCTGTAGAAACAGTTTTTTTAAACAATCATTCACTAATTCTCTGTAGTGCAGATATCCAGCATGAATACTAATTAGAGTATAAAGCCCAGAAAGTGAACTAGATACGGAACAAAAGTGAAATTGATTAGTTTAGGCCTGGTCTACTTCTAGAAAATAAAGTTAGCTTAGCTATGTGGGTCACAGGTGTGAAAAAATCCCTCTTAAAGTAGAGCAAAGTAAGCCACATAGGTTTTGGCTTTGGTTCATGTGTGTCATGGGAAACATTCACTTGATCATTCCACAAGATTGGCCTTTTTCCTATAAAACATGGGCTGGATTTCAGGATGCTTCCTTCTAAAGATCTTCAGGGAAAGCTGGTGGTTGCTATCCCATCTTTTAGCTTGGAAGGACACTGGTTAGGGGCAGCACCTGTCCATTATGAAGTGTCATAAGGAAAAAGGATGCGAGACCAGCTGCAAGGAGAGGGCTTATCTCTACACTAACTGTAGGAACATCTCATGGAAGTTAATGTCTGCTTTCTACAGATTTTTTTTTTCATGAAAGACAGCTACAGGTTGAACCTCTCTAGTCCATCACTTTCTCGTTCGACAACATCCGTGGCCCAGCATGATTTTAGTTAGCCAGATGTCCACTTATCATGGATTTGGCCAAGTTTCCTGTGGTCCCATGAAGTTTGTTTACAGCCACCAGTCCTGGCTCTCAGTGTTCTTCGCTGTTACATGTTAAACCTCTGAAAACCAATACTCGCTGCTCCAGCAGCCTAATGGCAGGAGGGTCAGTTAGCAGCCCAGCTGGGGGCAGTGGGACTGGAACACCACAAAAATGCTAGGGCTGGGCCGCAGAACCCCAGCAGCCCACAGTATCATGCAGTTGGAGGAAGAAGAAGCTTGGCTGCCCACAGTGGACTGGAGCTAAGGAAATCTGGCTACCCACAGCAGTGGAGGGCCAGGGAACCACAGCAGTGTGGCACCGGGGTCTGGAGAACATCAGATGCCCATGGCAGCCTAGGACCAGGGGGGCAATTGGCAGCAGGGCGTTCAGCCTGGCCTGGGGTGGGGAGAGAAGGGGATCAGAGGCATAGGGCTGGCTGACTTGGAGCAGGAGACACCTCTCCTGGTCTGGAAAATTCTCCCCAAAATTGCTGAACCAGGGAGGTACAACCTCTGTTTAGCTCTAATTTACCCCTAAATGTCTTCTAAGAGCCTTGTAAACAGTGGAAGTGTTAGTGATGCTGCTAGACAGCATTGACCTCCCATGGTTTGGAAATTCTCTGGTTTCATTCCGGTCAGGTCCTGAGGATGCGGGACTAGAGAGGTTTAACCTGTAGTGATATCCTTGTGCTAATGGCTACATCTTTGCATCTTTCATCGGAGACTGGATTTTGGCTGTGGTCTGAAAGGTAAAGCACAGTATACATGCTGATCCATTCAGAACCAAATTTACAAATGTGTTTGTCTCATTTGAGGGCCCATTATCAACCTGCTGGGTGTGTGTCGCGTATACACAACAATGGCTACGTCTACACTGGCCCCTTTTCCGGAAGGGGCATGTAAATTTCAGCAGTCGTCGTAGGGAAATCCGCGGGGGATTTAAATATCCCCCGCGGCATTTAAATAAAAATGTCCGCCGCTTTTTTCCGGCTTTTAAAAAAGCCGGAAAAGAGCGTCTAGACTGGCCCCGATCCTCCGGAAAAAGCGCCCTTTTCCGGAGGCTCTTATTCCTACTTTGAAGTAGGACATTTTAATAGGCACAACTTTGAAGTAGGAATAAGACCCTCCGGAAAAGGGCACTTTTTCCGGAGGATCGGGGCCAGTCTAGACGCTCTTTTCCGGCTTTTTTAAAAGCCGGAAAAAAGCGGCGGGCATTTTTATTTAAATGCCGCGGGGGATATTTAAATCCCCCGCGGATTTCCCTACGACGACTGCTGAAATTTACATGCCCCTTCCGGAAAAGGGGCCAGTGTAGACGTAGCCAATGTGTATATGTCAATAAAAATAGTTCCCTCCCCTTTTGTTCCCACCCATCTCCACAACCTTTCTGATC